TCACAGAGTAGTTTTTGTGAGGGAAAAGTAGAGGAGGGTATGCTATGTCCTTCAAGAAAAAGGGTGGGATATCAATCTAACATATCAAATCAGATTTTAATAACATATATAAATTAAGAATCTACCAGTTAGAAATACCTTGCACTGGTTGGAAATTCTCAGCAGAAAAAGATTTTTGGTAGCTGAAATAATAATTATTTGCTCTTTTAAAAAATTGTTAGACAAATTATGTTCTTTCTAAGATTCGCTCAAATAAGAGCTTTCTTTCTTTAATAGCATGAATTGAAAAAGTGCAATACACAGACAAAGATGTGTTTCAAAATTGTCAGGTGATTATTAATATTTCAAAAATTACCTTACACAGCTATTTCTAATAGCCTAAATACTATAACAAAACTGAGTAGATCCGAACAGAATGAAGCATAACATATTTTTGGGGCAATCTTTCCTAACTTGCTATAATAGATAGAACTTCTATAAGGAAAATATCACTGAAAAATACACAGAAAGTATAATCTGACACATTTGGAGAATAAAGGCCACTCTGAGAGATAAAAAAAATATATGTAATACTGTAACAAAATCAAAAAGTTTTGAAGTTCCCTCTGCAATAGAGAACATTCATTATGGGAAACCCATTACATCCAGTGAATTGTAGTACTACAAGGCAAAAAATAAAATATAAGCCTGCAAACATTTGGGGCCATACTAAAACATGCAAAGATTATTGGTTATCTCAGATTCTGGAGACCAAAAATATATCAGAAATATCCTAAAGTGTATTCCTAGCATAAACCTCATAATCCAAGAACGGTAATCACTGGTCTTCCAAACCTTCATAAACAGCACCCCCCAGCAGCCCTTCAAGATTAAGGATGCTGCGAAATGCATTTTATTGGCATCTAGAGAGTTACACATTTCCTACTCTGCTACAACTCAGTAGTAAGTTTGAGCTTTTAGATTAACTACCTATATTGTTTCATGGGCTACAGACTGTGAATCAGGTGCATTGGTTTTTTTTATTGTATTTGGCTTTTATTGTCGTGAGCCATTACAAGATGGGCAATCAAAAAGTATTTTAAACAAATATTTACAACATAGGATTTCCGTATAAGAAATGTTCCATACCCAAAAAAATCAGGAAACATCACTGTGTCAGAAATGCTGCACATAAATAGTAGAATTACAGTATAGCATCTTCATGTTTATAAACCACACTTATTAATAAACCTGGGAGATTAATTAGCAAAATGAGATAAAAGCTTTATTTCCATCTGTCTTTCAGTTTAACTCCAACCATCAACTTCTGTTCTATGATTTATTCAAATATTAAAAAGTTCTAATTCTAGTTTGGTTTCAGTTACATTTCTAATTATAATAAATTAAAATTGAGAGATCCCTTCAAATAATATGAAATTGGTCCCAAATCAACTCTTAGTTGATAGCAAATATCTCTCTGCTCAGCATACCATGGGTCCAGATGGATTATATTGCCAGGCTATAGGCATGCCGAGGCCATATAATATGAAGCTAACATGCAATTTTCTAAAAAAAAAAAGACCTGAAAAAATTTATGGAGCCCTAAAGGCAATATATATTAAAATTGTAAAATTAGTCAGGCATAGCTTTGTCCAAAAAAAAAAAAAAAGTAAAGTAAAAATGTTCCTTTGCTATACCTTGAAAACTTTCCAAAACTAATGCCCAATTAACTCCAAGCAGAAAAATTAATTGTAATTGAATAAATGCATACATATATTCTCATTATCTATTACCCACATCTGGAAATTGTAAATAATTTCTTGACTAAAAATATATTTAATTATGCAATATTCCTGAGGGGACTGTGTTTACTTGCTAAACCCATGAGAAGATTTTATAACTATTTGCATCTGTTTTTCTCAAGAGGTAAAAAGAAGAATCAGAAATCTAAGGAAGACTTTGTGGTACTTCAAAGTCTTCCTTGGATTTCTGAACATTTTCATCGCCTAAGGGAACCTTCACATATAAGATTAAAAAAAAAAACTCCAACCAACCAAACCCAAAGTTTTAATTGAATATTATTATTATCATCATCTATCATTTTCCCCTGAAGTTCCTAGAAAGTGTTGCCTTCGTATAACCCTGTAAGAAGACATTTGCATTCCTTGCTGTTTTTGACCTATAGTTACAGCTGTGCTTAAGCCCTGTTTCTTCCCCAGGGAGGGATGCAAAACATGACATATCATTCTATACATCTATTTTTGCCTCTTCACTGGCAAACCCTCTCTCAAGGCTCTGTCCTTACAAAAATATGTGAACAGACACATGGAATCTATCCCAGAAATAAGAGAACATGTTCCAATTCAAAACTGAATAACATTATTGCTTCATTTAGTTCAAAGTCTTTACAATTCCTGGTAATTGTGCTTGTGTTTGGGGCAGGCCTATTTTCTAGCTCTTCCAAGAAATGAGAGGGGCATAATCTGGACCACTATAGATACCATTTTGCCTCTCTGTGTGTTTGATAAAAATCAACCCTAACTTAATGGCACATAATCAGTTGGCCCCATTGGAGTATAGTACTACCAAAAGCAAAAAGCCAAATCTGACATAATTTTTGTTGTGAATTCCACTTGGATATATATTGTAAAAGAAAACCTGAGATGTTTTTAGTGAGTAGATGCAGGAGGCCTGTGCAGAAATTCTAAGTTCAGTCATATATGGGATCCCTTGTACTGAATGCTTTCACACAGCCTTGCCTTACAGGAACACAATTTGGATTTTAGAAGATGCCCATCCTGCTGTGACTATAGTGCTTGAAAGTGGAGCAAATAAACTCAGCCCTTTGATCAGAAGCATTAAAGCAGCAAATTCAGATAGGTTTGATTGCTTGATAGCCTGCAAATAAAAACATTATCTTGAGCAATCAGTGAACACTACTATGGATTACATAATTCATTCTTTGAAGAAAACTGGTCTGCTCAGAGTTTAATGCTGAACATAGTACCAGAAAGGAAGATAACATATAATTCAAGAATAGTAATCAATAGGATACTTCTGCAATCAAGACACAGGGAAGATGTCAAATTTCATCCTGCCCTTACTCATCATCTCAGAAGAATTGTATGTTTTATTGCCATTTGCTAGCATATCGATGCACTACTAGAAAAGAAAAACTGATGAAAACATGAGAACACCAAAACAAGTAGAAATTCAGATTTGGACAGGTGCAATGAACTGATAATTGTATACTTTCTTTTGAGATAGGCAGCTTTCAGACTGAGGCAAAATAACTTCTAATTTACAAATGAAAAATACTTTAAAAAACAGAAAACAAAATAATGTGCGCATTATTATAATTTGCACAAGTCCTAGAATTTGAGTCTAGCAGATGATGCTGTGCCTATGAATGGGGAGAAAACCTTTGGAGCTTTGAATGAGAACAATGGCATCCTTACAGAGAAAACATAAAGTGCTATTTATCTGCTGCAACAAGCCCCATGCTCCGACTTCCAGTTTTCTGGCTCTGGGCAATGAAGTGGCTACAGCAAGCTGCTGACATTTGGTTTGTGACTAGCTCCAGACAGATAACATTACTTCTGTTTATTGCCATTTCCCCTGCAGATAAAAGTGGGGAATAAGTTATATGTTTACATTTTGTAACTCCCCCCCCTTGGTGTCCCATCTTTTACTCTAGTCTAGATGATCATAAACCATTAAGGAGCTATCAGCCAATTAGAAAATTTAATCTCGACACAAAGAAAAGATGAGCCAACAACCTTCTTTATTTACATTCAAACTAAGGGAATGGGGGAAAACAGTAACTTGAAAACTAGAGAGCTAGTATTAAGCATAAAACCATTCTATGACAACCTCAGACCAATTCTTCAAGCTATATATCAAATTACATATGCAGCCACAGAAGAGATGTGAATGGCCTTTATCTTATAATCCAACATCAAGCTTCCCTTACTATTATTTACATTATTCTATGCAAACTACAACAATTGGCTCGAGGTTTAGAGTGCTGCAATTCCCACCATCCCTCAACGTTGATTAATACTGATTGGGGCTACATCAGGAGGGCCGCATGTGTTCTCTAAATAAAGAAAAGAGTGAATGGGGAAAAGCCAAGAGGTTTTACTGCCCTTGGTGCTGAAGGGGGACTCTACTTGTCTAATACAGGAATTTATGACTTCAGCAGTTATAGTATAGTGTAAAAAAAAAAAAGAGTTAAGCTGCTTCTGATAGCTATGGGTGGCTTAACTAAGTGGTTTGCTACCTTTCATTGCCCCCCCCCACCAATCAAGATCTAGCGAAAAGGTAAATGGTGAAGAGGAGGAATGTATTCCTTATGTAGCGGGTGCGTCTTCCCCGCTACGACGCTGCGCGACGATCGGGGCCCCGGGATGCCCGCAGCACTCAGCCGATCGCGCGGCGCGATTGGCGCGATCGGCGCTGAGCCCTCCCCAGCTACACTTAGACATTTTACCTACCTACCTCCCCACCCACCCAACCCCAACGCACCGCAGATCCAGTCCACTCCTTCCTTAGCTTGTCTTCGTCAAAAGCCCTGAGGAGAACGCTCTTTCCCGGGAGAACACAGAAACCCATCTGGGCTCCTGAGGCCACTGTGCTATCTGTCACGCCTGATCCCTCGTCAAATCTTCCCTCCGGGCATCAGGGCTTCGAGACGAGGGGGACAGAAAGCAGGCAAGAGCCCAGCTTCCCCTCGAAGCGGTGTGAGGAAAAGCCCCAATCCGAAACCCACCAAAGGGTTTCGGTTCTCCCCCTCAGGACTACCGAGGGGGGTTAGCCGAGCTCTCCCCTTTCCCCAAGGCTCCACACATCTCCGCCCGCCGCCTCGCCACGGATCAGCCAGGGGGTTCCCTACAACAGCGCGGAACATCTTGCAGGGCACAGCAGCTTGCGGGGACCCGCCAAATCCCTCCTTCTCCCGGTTTGCTTTCTCCCGTCCCATCCGCCGCGCCCATCCCAGCCCCCTCGCCCTCGGTACTCACAATGGCACCAGCCCAGATGGCAGCACCAGTGCAGACGGAAGCAGCGGCCGTGACTGTGTGTGGCGCACAGCGACAGCCCATCGCAAGGCTGAAAGTCGGGTCTTCCAGCGCAGCTGCGGGCCAGCGCTTGAGCCTCGTCCAGTTTCTCGCTTTTCCCGACCAGAAGAGAAGCGGCAGCGACGCTGGCCGCCGCCCCGACCCCGCTCATAGTGGTGCTGCCGCCGCCGCCGCCTTCCCCTTACTTGCAGCCCGCTCTGAGCTCACGCCTTGTCGCCGAGTCACTCCCGCTTGTGCGCACACAAAGCGCAGCGGGTCGAGAAGCAGCGCTTCTTCTTGCCAGGGGAAACAAACGCCACGGGCTAGCCCGGCCCCGCCTGGAGCCACCTTGGCCAGCCGCCCAGCTCCGCCTCAGCCCCGGCCCCGGCCCCAGCCCGCCCCCTCCAGCTAGCGACGGGGCGGGGAAAACGAGGGAGGGGAAGTCAGCCGTGGGGACTCCGCTGAAGTGCTCGTGAGCGGCGGGAGGAGGAAGGTTGGGGGAGGATGAGGAGAGCTGCGGAATCCTCCCCGGGAGATTAAAACCGGTCGGCGTTCCCCGCCCTCCCTCCCTCCCTCCGTCTGGAGAGAGCGCTTACAGACGGCGCCTGTGGGCGAGGCGAAAGGAGGGACAGATCGCAGCCAGTCAAAGGACCGGGGGGACTTTCCTCTCCAGCGAACGGTCACTAGGGCGCCTCGCTCCCAAGTTCACGCGGACCCCTCTTGGAAACCGTAGGCATCGCCCACTATTCACGTAACCCCAGGCCTGGATGAATCCTTCGGGATTTTAATATATTGTGACCAGTTGTTTCTCTTTTAATACACCCGCCGGGCACAGAGCTGCCGTCCAACGTTTGCTTCCCCCCCTCCCCCTTTCCAATTTGCATCCATCTCCCCACCTCGGTGTCTGGACCAAGCAGGATAGCTCAGTAGACTGACCTCGGATGTAAATACCTTCCTGTAGCCTTGCAAGAAATAAGGATAAATAATATATTTGCATGGTTTTTTTCTAAAAAAAAATTGATTTCATAAATGTGCCATTAGTGTTTAGGAATAAAACCATTTCTATTTGGCCAGTTGATATGTCTTCCTCTTTGAACTGGTGGCATGGAGTGCACTGGAGCAGAAAACCAGAGGTTATATGGAAATAGATAAATGCCATTACATAAAGCTCCCTTAGTATATTATTCTCTATGACCTGATTCACCAGCACTTAAGCATCAGACTTCACTGGTGAGATGATGCTCGCTTGCTCCAGATGTTTTGTGTAGAAACCATTTCTGTACCATGAAGCTTTTCATAGCTATCTTTCTTTAGCTAAATTGGTTTTCATTAATGACTAACAGCCAAGATAAAACAATAAAAGTAAACATAATTTTACATGCTTTAATTTAATTTACACAGACTGCAGATGAGAGATTAAAAGAATTCATATTACACACTTATGGTAATCCTGGTGCTGAAAGGGATCTGGGAGGTCTTCTAGTCCAGTGGTCGCCAACCGGTGGGCCACGGCCCACTGGTGGGCTGTGAGAAAATTTTGGTGGGCCACAGAGAAATCTCACCCCCAGAGCACTCCCCCCAAAGCAATTAATCCAGGCTGCACAGAAACACAAGGCTGCATAGCCCACATGGCCTGCAGGAACCCTCCCCGCCCACTCACTCCTTATCCGGCAAACTTGTCTGCTAAATTGCTATTTTTCCTTTTTCTGACCATCAGCTGTTCTGCTGTGTGGGGAGATTTAGATTAGCTAGGAAGCAGGAAATGGTTGGATTTCTTGCTTTCTAGCCAGTCTTTAGATCTCCAGCTCTTTTAAGCACAGCCAAACCTCCCTTAGGACTGAAGGTTCTATTATTCAGTGCAGACTCACAGCAAATTTGAGAGACTGAGCTAGCCGATGGCAGATAGATAGATCACTGAATGATTCTGTGAGCAACTCAATCTGCCTGCTTTGCCTGATTTTGGGTAAAAGTTGCTCTTATTTATAAAAAATTCAATATTTATATATTTATATTTACATACAAGCCATGCCCAGCCAGTCACATGACCACCAAGCCACACTCACAAATTAGGCCACACCCACAGAACCAGTTAGTGGTCCCTGGGATTTAAAATTATGAGTTTGGTGGTCCCTGAGGTCCAAAAGCTTGGCGACTCCTGTTCTAGTCCACTCCTTGCCCAAGCCAGGCCTCCTTATACCATCCCAGACAAATGGTTGTCCAATCTTTTCTTGAAAACCTCCAGCAACGGAGTAGCACCCATGAATCAGGGAGGCAAGCAGTTTCATCAATTAATCATTTTCATTGGTAGGAAATTCCTTTTTATTTATAGGTTGGATCTCCCTCTGATGAACTTCCACCCATTATTTCTTGTCTTACTCTCAAGTGCTATGGAGAAAATAAATCAACCCTCTCTTCCCTGTGACAGCGCTTCAACTCTTGGAAGACGGCTATCAGGTCTCCCCTAAGCTTTCTCTTCTCTGCCCTCAGCATCTTTTTTTGGTTCATGGTGACCAGAATTGCTCACAGTATTCCACGTGTGATCTCACTGCGCACATAGATATTATTTTCCGTGATCTTGATGCAATTTAAAAAGGTTCTTCTGAGATGATGGGGCATAGAGAGACTTCATAGATAAGGATTACTATGCATAGGTCTTTCCTCACTTGCTGTGTCCATTGTAGTTTTCCAGAAAAATACTTGTTTCTTAGGAGAAAAAGAAATGGATGCATGCCATTAATGGACTTTCACATAATCAGCATCCTCAAAATGTTATTTTCACCACAAACAAAACCAATCCTTTTTGCCCCTTCCAAAATATTTTTATCAATTTCCATTAAAATCACCTTGCATTTTCTCTGCTTTTTTAATTCCTTCTTCTACTTGGCTATATTCTTCACAACTATTGTTTTTCTGTATTACAACTTTTCCTCATTCCCTGCATTTAGCAGCAAGCAGTCTTTCATCATTCCACCATTTCCCAGTGGCATAACTCCCTGTACTTCTGTCACATGATTTTTCAGTCTCTTCCAAGCAATTTCCATCATATTTCCTTATGTCAACTCTTCCTTCATTCCCCTGGGAGATTAATCTATCATCTAATCCTTTGTCACATAGGATGCATACCTTTTCTTTCTTCAGATATTCTATTTTCATTTTTTCCCCAAACTCATTTTTTTAGAAAGACCATTCTTAACATTGCCAAAAAATGATGTTTGACATTCAGAAACATAACACTTTTGCATATTGCACTAATTTATTCTGTATTTCATGATGAATCCTGATATTAATTATGCTTTTAGATTGATATTCATTCTCTTGCCTTGGGTAAACAATCGATTTATGACTCGAGTATGTATGAAAATCCCATTTTTTAATTTCTGAATGGCCCAACACTTTTTCTGTATTCTCTGACCTACCCATCCATTCATGTTCATCTTGCAGAGTAACATTTCCCCTTAATTTTAGTCATTCAGAATATTGCATAATATCTCCCCAAAATCATACTAGATGTCTGCCATTATTACTATTCAGTGGATCATAACAGGCAACTATCATCAACAAAGGAACTCCAACTTTTATGTACATCCACTACAATAGAAGTCATACTTAATGACATACATTTTAGTTGTTACAATTACCTTCATTTGTACTACACCAGACCAGACCAACTTTTGATCTTGTTTTCTATGTATCCTGTATGACCAGATGAATTTATATGCTCTTGGTTCCAATGATTAAACAATATCATCTAGCAAGACGAGGAAGTATGCTTTCTCTATCGGTGCCACTGCCCTGTGGAATAATATCCCCAAGAGATCCAAATGTCCATTATCATTTGTGCTTTTAAACAAATCTTGAAAAGTTGGCCTTTTCCTCATGGCATGGTCAAAGGTAGTTGATGGAACCCTTTTGGTTCAGGAAAAGTTTTCATTGTTCCCTTTTGATACTGATCTTCCTTTTTTTAATTGTTAAGATGCCCAGAACCATTACGGAGTCAGGTGATTCTAAAAATATGCTGTATCAACAAATAATTCAGATCTTTTACATCTTTCCTTTCCTATCTCTTCTCCCCTTCCATTCTCTTTCCCCTCTCCACTTCACCTCACCATATGCTTGACACCTTTGGGACAAATGGTCCTGACCATAATCTTTTTCATGCAATCAGGACTTTTATCTAATATTTCAATAAAATGGAAGAATACACTTCTTAATTTCAGCCATAGCTGCACCATATGTTACATTCCCTGAAAACACTAGTTAGTATCAGATAACCTTTTTTCCCAGGGAGCTGCCAGCTTTTACTTGGATAGGAAGTAAAAATTAATGAAGTTCTGTACTATATTGATCTATCCAATCAATTGTATCCAGAAGGCTTCTCAGATGTCCAAGCAACAGAGTAGGGTCATGCCCTTAGGCCTCGTTCTTATAACACATATAGTACATATGTAATAGGTACAGCAAATAGGGATTAATTGACCTAAGTAATTAATTCACAGGGGCTTAAATTTAACTCCAAACTCAATCAGTCATGGCCAGGATTAAGTTAACTTCACTCAATCAAGTAATCTAGAATGGCTGACAATCAAATTCCTCAATTCCATGACAATTCGCTGCTAAGGTCCTGCAGTTTAGAATGTCTTAAACATTGATTAGCTGCAGTGGGCAAGCCAGACCTACTGTTGCCTACCTGCCAAATGAGAAAGGAAACGATGATGTAATCAAACCTTGCAAATACTTTCCTAGTCAAGAACACATATTATACTGGCTCTTCATGGAGAAAGATTGTGATTTGATACTCTTAAAATGGAGGATTTTGACCCTGTTCATAGGACCACACTATAAAAACTAGTAATAAGTGTGTCTGGTTAAAATGTAGTAAGAGCGAGCCTTGGAATTGGGTTTTGTATAGGTATTTCTCTCATCAATAATAATTTCTGTGAGAAACAGATGGTATTTTTGGGGGTGGGCGGAGGAATAAACAGTTATCACATCATTTGGGTCTGGGTGTATGTATTTACAGTAAATGTTTTTGTAGTCCCAAATAACCTTTGTAACTAGACAAAGCGATCTTGAACAAAAATATTCTTGAAACAAAACCATTATTAGAAATTGCCAAGTATTTATCACCACACTGTTTATATAGATAATCTCCATTGGTACAGCAAGCATGTGTCAGAAGCATCTGTGGCAGGGTTTAAACTGAGTTGATATCCTCATTTTTGGGGGAATAGGCTATATACTTAGTAAATAAGTTATAAAGGATTGTGAATTCAGACACTG